TCTCAGGGATTTCATAGTGCAAAAGTTAAAATTCTACTCATATATACCTTCATTCCTAGATGCAGCAATTCTCTTCTTCTCAGCAGTGATATGATATTTCAACTCATAAAAGTGATGCCATCACTTTCTCATCTCATTTTAGTTATTTTCAACTTGATTTTCAATCATCACCAAATATGGCAAACCTAAAACATAAAATAAATGGGTAGGTACATCAGCAGGTAGAGAACACAATAATGAAAAACATTATTCACTTTCATGATGACCTGTAGGATTGGACTCAAACTCATTCTCATAGATTCAACTTAAGGTTGAAGGTTTTAATAATATTCACATGAGTACTTAAAATAAGAAGTTATATAGGAACCCCTAAAATTATAGGAATAGGTATTATATTTTAATCAAACCTTAGATAATTATAGAGTTCTCTCCTCATATTATCTCATCAATAAATAAAGGTGAACAAAAATCCTTCCAGAAATGGTCACAATCCAACATCCAGACATATTTGGGGCCTTTTTCTGATTTCAATTACTGTGGACTTCTCACATTGTATATTCACTAGGTACCTAGTTCTTAAGGCTCAGCAGAAAACTGAAGCAGTAGTAATTATGCTTTCCTTGAGTTTCCATAGTTTCGAATCTGAAAGATGTGGATCTTCTCCTTGATACAAGGTAGTATTCATCAAGATACAAGATAAGATCTGTGGATAAGATTCTTCATGATTCCTTTCTTTATATTATAACCATATATTTGCTTATTGCTGATGAAAAACTTCATTTCCACAATTGATTCACAGCTGAGCACATCAAAAAACTGCACAGACCATAAAATAGGAATCACTGCTTTCCGAGCTGCTTTCACTATTTATGTTCCCACGCTTCACATCATCATTATCAATATGCACAGAATCCCGTATTTCGTCCAGGGCTGTAAGGGCCAGTATGCCAGTAAGGGGGCTCGGTCTCTACATATTTGTCATATCTCCACCATCTGCATGAACTATTTTTGAATTGTTGAGTGACTGAGTGACCGTGTCCCGTGAATGTCCGAATGTTGTGACTGAACTCAACTCACTAAAACTAAACAAACTATGCCATCGGCCGAGACTGCCGAGAGCACCGCTGGGCGCTGAGAGGGAGCGAGGCTCAACTCATTAACGATTTTTAAGGTTATGTAGGTTTGACAGGAAAACAATTGAACTGAGTGTTTCCTCGAGTTGACCGTATGGCGGTACTACTGTATCGGCCACAGAACGCTGTAGGTGATTTCCCCTGTTTGGGCAGACCAGATACTCCAGCTCACTAGATTTTTTCTCCATATTTAGCAGACAATGGTGGATCCAATACTATGACAGGTCAGTTGTACGGATACATTATTTGCAATTGGCATACAGGAAAAAGTTCTCAGCGCACTAGGAGCTAAAGAGTAACGTGCATCGGTATAGAAAATTGTAAATTTCTCGGAAACTATGACCTTCAGCGTTGTTGAGTAGTGTACTTTTTTATTCAAAAAAGTGAAGGAATAAGGTTTTTCTATGGAAAGTGTCAAAAATTTACTATCAAAAAGGTTAGGAAATTTTAAATGAATAATGGCAGACTATGCAGCGCCCTCTAGGCGCTACATAAAAAATTAATATGAAATTATGATTTCCCACCTCAAGAAATATTTGCATATCAAATTTCGTGCGAAAAACTTATTTTTTGTCTGAGTAATTGAATAAAAAAAACGAAAACAAAAAATGATTCCAATGACCTGTATTTCCTAAACGTCTACTAAAATTGTCTCAGGGATAAGTCATTTGAATAATTTCTCTGGATAGGATTTGCATACATGTGGATTTTGTATAAAATGAAATCAACATATACAAGGTTCACCGACGTATACCTAGAAAAATGTGATAGGTTATGTGATTTTGAACATATTTAACCATATAAAGAGTTTGAGACGGCACTATTGCTAAAAATGCTAAATTAGTTATTATTGGAGCTACAAAGTAGATTACGGCACACCCAGTATACAATATTCTTAATCGATAGGAAATTCGTTCTGAACGAAAAATGTCCAATAATCTTTCATCTTGAATGAGGGCTAACATTCTCACTCTCACCAGTTGGCGCTACTATAACGAGGTAAAAGTCAAAGATCCCAAAATTTTGCCTGATAGCCCTAAAAGCTATGGCCTGTTTTATTGAAAATATTCGAAAAACATGATGTAGAATATTTGAATTAATAGAAAACTCCAAGTTATCGAAAGACGTTTTTTTACTCTCAATATGGAACTTTACAACTAATTCTTACATTGACGGAGAAGAAGATATCATAGCGAAAGGCCAAATGACACGAAAAAATCATCAGTTCTACCAACATTGAACTCATGTTTCGATGGCACGCTTTGGTGGACAATAAGTAATGTTGATCCTCATTCATAAATGACTAAGCTATCAACGATTTTTCAAATTTGTCAATAGGTTTGTTCGCGTTCGAAAAATGAACAGTCCGAAACTATCAGAAGCATGCGCAGTTCCACGGAACTTGAAAAATTCATACTATTCTGTGAAATTGCGCATGCTCCTGATGGTTTTGGACTGTTATATTTTGAACGCGAACAAGCCCAATGCGATTGTAGTCGAGGTATTACTTACGGTAGCTTTACCTTACCATGAAGTAAAAAGAAATCGTCGATAGCTTAGTCATTTTTGATTTTGGGTAAAAGTTTATGAGACAGTTCCTGTTCAGAATCGAATTTCTTATCAATTAGGTTAATTGTATACTGGGTAACACATTGAAAAAAATTAACTTTTTGACATAACTCCTGAATGCTCTGACTTTGTAACTCCAATAATAACCAAGTTAGCAATAATACTACTGAACGAAGTGTTACACTTATAGAGAAATCATCATGTTACAGTGAGTCGTTTATTAAATTTTAACGAGTCAACATTTTTTTATCTCATTTAGATCCCATTATGTATTCAGTATCGATGAAATATGTATTGAAATGTTTCACAAAACGTTTATTACAACTTATATGGACTTATGCAAGTTCAGTAAAATTTGGAAAAACGATGATATCTGGAAATGACAGTGAATAATAGTATACAGGGTGTTTCGTGATATGTGGGACTCACTTCGACGTGTGATAGGGCGTCTCAAGAGAATAAAAAGTTCTCATAAACAAGTCGTAAAAGGCCTTCTTTGCGAGATGCAGGGCGTTAAAGTTGCAAATATTCATAGAATTCTGTACTGTGACTGGTATAGTGCCACAATTACAGAATAATATCTATCATGGTTATAAAGTAATCTGAACAGATGTCTTGAGTGGACTATTTGACATCTACATCGAATTTTGGAGTGGAATTTGGTTATTCGGTTTCTCTCGAAAACTGTGTATCTTTACGAGTTTCAACACTTGGTGATTTTTTCTACAAAATTGCATCCTCTTTTATATTTTCGAATAACATTTCGAAAAGTTTCATCGCCACTCAACTATCCTTCCAAAATTCAGACTTGTGAAATATTCAGTAGACATTCAATAATCATGTTTTATCACACTCTCTTCCAATCTATATTATCGTATGGAATAATTGGATGGGGTGGTGTGTATGAAACTCATCTAAATCCTTTGTTATGTATTCAAAAATGAATATATTGAATGTTAGAGAATTATTCTATAAGGCGTCAACAATCTTTATCAAAAAGAATCCGGCAATGAAAAATAAGATCAATTATAGTTATGATACAAGAAACAAAATCAACAATGTACGACTTGAAAAACATATGCTCAGAACTTTAGAAAAACATTCTAGTTTTATCCGATCTAAAATTTATAATAAAATCCCATCAAAATTGAAACGTCTAAATATCATAACTTTCAAAAAATGAGTTGAAAGATGGCTTATAGAAAATGCAAAAAAAGTTGATGGATCTTCTTGATCATTTCTCATTACCTTTATTCGATTTATTCTCATTATTGTGTGAAACACAATTTTATTAATGAAATAATTCATCTCTTTCACACACAGGTCACTAACTTATGTGACGGAGATACAATATGAAATGTATATACATGTTATTAATATTCAATGACAAGATATGTACATTTTACTTGGTTCAATAAATAAATGAATAAATAAATATGAAAATATGTACATTTCGTAAATGTATTTTTTATTGTGTCTATGATGGCTCATGAATTTCATGAATGTATTTTATTATTGTTTTTATGTGTCATGGTACTCTGTTTAGTAGAGTAACTGTGAGCTGGACTTCAAGGATAAATAAAATGAATACTTTTATTATTATTGTTCTTCGATAACTTTTAGTTGAAGAGAAGAATCGAAGTACTCCAATAATTATTGATAGTATAGATTCAAAATGAAGTGTAACTATTCGGGTAAAGATCAAACGTCATAAAAATGATATTAAAATGATTAGAAATGTTCAATCCCGGTCACTGAAGTGACTTACCAGACTAAGCGTTCCTGTCGGTTGCTGGCGCTTGTGGATATAGGCTCTTGTAGGTAGGGGCCCTCCAAGTGTGCCTATCTGCTGATCTTCAATATTGGAAACAAGAGGTCTGAAGGACGTAACACTTCACGAACATAGCAGCACCTTTTTTCTGAACAATAACTTTATTGCGCAAGTTCATAGGCTACTGTCCTTTCCTCAGGCGATACAGATGAATTTGCCGGTCACCTTTATCCAAGAGGTAGTATATCATCGCGTCAGTGACATTGTTTACGTGTGATCACTATTATAATTCGACGAAATAACTGAAGTTCATGAAGAATATACAAAAAGACTCATGTTAGACTAAGTTAACTTATGTTGACACTTCTCAATGAGAGATGGTAGAGTTGGCAGGTGAATAAGTTACAGGATGTTTTTATTACTCAAGATGGATGAATGAAAACATCCTGTAGCTCATTCATTGGCTAACCTCAACATCGAGAATTGATCTAGTTTTATTTTTAACTCGCTTTCATATATTATTTCAGGCGTTTGTGTCCAAGGGGACTTCAACAAACCCCACCTGACCTGTTCCGTCGCTCTCGGCTCGCCCGACGCCAAATGGGCCTACTCCCAATGCCCTGACGTCGACGAGTGCGGCCTCGGCCTGCACGACTGCCACGACCAGGCCATCTGCACCAACACCGACGGCTCCTTCAGCTGCCACTGCAAGAAAGTGAGTATTTTTTTATTCTTATCCATCATACAGGAGTATTTAAACAGGAGTATTCAATCGAATCAAACATTAAGTCTGCGGCAATACTTTTAAAATCTCAGGGCTAGTTTCATATGGGTCCGATATGGTGAAACTTTAGCCGTGGCACTTGATATCTCCAAAGCATTCGATCGAGTCTGGCACCACGGACTCCTCGCCAAGCTTCCATCTTATGGCTTGCCTACCCAGCTATGTTCTCTGCTAGCTAGTTTTCTCTCGAACAGCCCAAACAGGTCTCTCCATGTAGTGGTCGACGGAGTTTCATCTGACTCTCTTACCATAAATGCTGGTGTTCCGCAAGGATCAATTCTAGTACCAACACTATTTCTACTCCATATCAACGATTAGAAGCAACTTCATGTCCAGTACACAGCTTCGCCGTTGATAGTACCATCCATACCGCCTTCTCTTCCAGGGCTCCAATACCAGCCAGGCAAATCAGAAACGAACGAGGGAGAAATGTTGACAACATAAATATGGACTTGGCAACAATTCTCGAATGGGGATCCAATAACTTGGTAGATTTCAATGCAAACAAAACACAAGCATGCCTTTTCTCTAGAAAAGCCGATCTCACTGTGCCAAACATAAGCATGTCAGGACTAACCATCCCTCTGAAGACATCCATTTCGATGCTTGGTATTACTATCAGCAATAACCTTTCTTGGGAAAATCACGTGAGATCAATTGCGAAAAGTGCATTCCAAAAACTTGGTTTTCTGTTTCGGGCCAGGAGCTATTTCACTTATGATCTATAAGGCACAGATTCGACCTGTTCTGGAATACTGTTCCCATATTTGGAGTGCAGCACCCAAACATACCCTGAAGCTGTTGGATTCTGTTCAAAAAAGGGCAATTCATTTCGTGGGTGATGCCTCGCTCACGAACAAAAATTTATTATTACATACAATTACATAGATTCGTTGACAAATCTATTAGACAAGTCATAACTTCTAGAATATTCTGTGTATCAAAATGAAATTCAACATGGGTAAATGGTATGTGAAGATTTCACCTCCCGGTCACTTTCGGTTCCACGGGAAATGGCTTTGACTTTGAATTTTCAAATGGAACACTCTGTATATTATAACATGTTCGGATTCCTAAGACAAATCTGGATCAGAATATGACATCATCAGCTGTGAAAGTGTTTATCTACTCTTAGAATTCCTGGAGCTGTAAAGTGGGTTCTGTAATTATTTACAATTTTTTATGTCTCGGGTGCCACCCATATTATATTCAAACTAGTGATGGGCAGATTCCAGTATTTTCGAGAATCGAATATATGGTATTTGAATACTTCCAAGAATCGAAAACTCATCCGAGTAAAGTTTATGCAAAGTCAGTTGAATAGATCATCAAACGAATGTCGGGCCGCGCTGCCGCACTCTTTGAACTTTCAAAGGGACCGACGGCTTGGGGTGATGTGTTTTTCCAACTGACTTTGCATGAACTATACTCAGTTCTCGAGTACAAAGAATCATTTTCCATGAAATGAGAAAGTTACTATCTACTTATTAATCGACAAACGATAGGAAATGTAAGTTTTCAAAGATATCGCCAAAGGAACTATCAAGCTTAAAAACAGAATTTTGGTCGCTATGACTACTGTAAATTGACAGAAATAGTTATAGCCGCTTTTCTGTTTCCAAATTTTCATTGCATGCAATTCATATTTTCGGCAATGATAATATGCAGGTTGTTTCATACTGAATCGAAATGACTAGCTTGTAATGTCTTTTTGTAAAAAAACTGTGTTTTGGTTCTAATTCTTCGACGGGTTCGAGCGTTCTTTCCATAAATTCTTCCCATAATTTTTAACATATTTATGGATGACAGAAGACGAAAAACGAAACGAAATGAAAGAATACATTTTTGTCGAAAAATATATTTTGATAGATATTGAGTTTCAATGTTTGCAAGAAAATAAATAGCCCAAACCCAAGCGTATGATTTTGGCGATATCACAAGCACCAGAAGTAACAATGACTTATGCAATGTTGTCGAGCGTTTAATAATGGTTGAAAGATGTAGTATGGTGGGAGCGCACTTTTTTTTTATTTTCAACACATTTTTTTGTGATAAGCGTGTCATTATGTCTCATTTCATTTTATTTATTGCCTCAATTTCGGAAACCCCCTGTATTTTTGAATCCAGCTTTTTATGGAGATTCCAAAAATTGAATAATATATCACGCATATGAAACAAGAGGTAGTGCAAAACAACTCCTCAATGTTAGAAAACTAAACACAACTGCAGGACAAAAATCAGTGATTTATAATGGTGGAAATCTATATAATAATCTGCCTCAAAGCATGAAAACATTAAATAAACACCAATTCAAAATGAACATAAAAATATATAATGAACAATAATGAACATTTGATAACATACTTGATAAAAATTCAACACATCCTTTCCATGCTTCTTTAACAAGATAGGAAGCTACCTGGTAGCACATTCATTACTTATTTATTGTTTTATTGATTAGATTAAGTGCGCATTATGTTTATTGATATTTCTTTTTTTTTTACTTTTTGTAGATGTAATCAGGTGAATCATGTAGGTAGTAGTAATAGTAGGTGCGGAGGCTGTAGCCAAGCAAGTAGGCCCCGATGGCGATTTTACTAAATATACTGCACGCTAGCACAAACCACGCCCACCATAATACGTCATCTCCAAACATTACCGATATACTCGGAGTCAGCACATCGCACTAAATATACTGTGCTCCAACGCAAGAATACACTTTTTATGATTTTGACACGAATTCGACTGAAGCTCTCTCGTTGTCAATCTCTTGTACGCAGTAAATTCATACACCCAAATGGTCTACTGGTTAGCGCTGTCGACTTTTAGTCTGAAGGCAACTTTTTTTCACCAATGTTTTTTTTCTTCATTCTGGTTTTCCTTTTTTATAAAATATTTGAAGGCAAATAGGTTAGTACGTTTAGGATGAACAGTCTCATTTTATTCAATTTTGTTGAAGAACTCAACTTTTGAAATATATTATTAATCAATGTGTTTCTACACTCCATTCGGTTTTCCTTCCTCAAAAATATTGCAATCAGGGATAGGTTAGTTCGTTGAGGATAAATAGTCTCTGAGTTTTGCCTAAGTAAAGTACTTTGAAGATGAGATATAACGGTGGGCGTGGTATGTGCTAGCGTACAGTATATATTTAGTAAAATCGCGGCCCCGATGGGCCCTTTTTGCTAACCCCTGCTCTCCACATATCTACGCTTCCTTCACCTAGATTTCCTTTACGAATCTCCCTGACCTTCTGATGAAGGCCAGTATGTCCGTCCACTCTAATATAATCAAGTCCTCCTGTTGGAGTTTGTCTACTCCAAAGATTTCAAATCTCAGCTTTCCGTACGCCTCGCACTCGCCGAGAAAATGGAGTGACGTTTCCTCGCCTTCCCCGCATATGCGGAATGTATAATGTAGGTAACCAATATTGTAATTGTAATATGAAATAATAGCGAATTACAGAGAAACTATCCCTTTTCATACTGCTTGACACACAAGAGTTTTCTCAGGTGTCAATTTTTGTAGCTATGTTTGATGTTGATGATATAAATGTGGCAAACTGGAAATAAAAAATCGACTTTTCAGCAGATTCCTCAGAAATGGATAATTTGACTAGAAATTAATTTATTCAGTACATTACTTGCGAAAGCAATTTTTTTTTATCGCTTGGAGCGCACGAAAGGGAATCCCTATAATGTTCAAAGAACATCGTGCATTCCTAGGGAGGATAGGGACAGGAGGTAGGTATTGGATTTTTTTTTTGAACTTTTGGAGATTATATGTTGTTGGGAATACTTCTACAGGCAATGAATTCCAGAGCCTATCCGTTCTATGGATGAAGGAGTCTTGATAAAGTGCTGTTCGACATCTTTCGAGGTTGACAACGAAAGGATGTGCTACGGACGCACTATTTAGAAACTCTATGTGTGACATATCATTGGATTCAGCTTTTCATCGAGATTCCAAAAAAAATATAATATAGATATAGAGTGTTTCATTTGAAAACAAAAATCCCGGACGTCATAACTCAAACATTAAAAATAAAAATCGACCTGTTTCAGGAGATTCTTCAGAAACACATAGTTTGACTAAAAATGAATGTATTCAGTACTTTACGAAAGCCCTGTATGTAACCGTTCGACAAATAATCTGTATACGTGGGTGAACCAAATACCTATAAGATAAAGATTTTTCTTATTGAGAATATCTCTCAAGCTATAGAGTTTGTGATAAAGACTCCTGATAGTCCTTATGTGTTTTGTGACATATCGATTCCTTTTTGCCAGAACATCGTAAGTCGCGAATGTTCAATTTCACAGGAGAGTAGTTTTGTTGATATCTCATCTGTGAAATGCTTTATAAGTCTGATATTTCGGATATGAAGGTTTTGGTATGAATGTTTTGTAGAAATATATTAAATTTTGATTAAAAAACTATTGGTTCATGTGGAAATGATATACTCACGATAGTTAGCTGGAATGAGAAAATGCGCAGATGTAGACTTTTTTCGTAAGATCAAACCTTACGATAATTTGAATGTTCAATAGATAAATCGAGGAAGCAAACATCACCAAGAGAAAATTGAAGAATAATGCGAAATTATAATATTATTTACTGACAGGAAACAAACATTTTCTTTGGCAAAAAATCAAGAACACTCTAATATAAAATACAAATTCATGTTTCTATATCAATGAAACAAAAAATCGTGAAATAGACTCATCAGCTCTAATCAAGTTCTGTTCACACTGTCTGTTTCTGGAAGGTTGTCTGTCTGGTACATCACCAGAAGTCTTCATTTCTAGATATTCTGTACTGAGGAAAAATATTCCTTTTTTGTTAACAAATCGTTTTTTTTTAGGCCTAGTTAGTTCAATGCTAACAATATTCATTTGATATTACAAAATATCATTAGATATTACCCAAGCCTGCCCAAAACAGTCCTTAACAATGAACAAACGATTTGTTATGTCTATCAAAAGTCAGGGAGCGTATGTCGGTTGTACAATGAATGTTCATCATCATCATCAGGGCGGGGAGAACATATTAAATTGAACGGACTCCAAGCAAACTTCAAAGAAGCGAAACCGATCTGCGTACCTATTTGTTTTTTCTCGAGGTGCTCTGCAGGTCACAGTCAGATAAAAGATGATATTGCGGTTCCTCTTTCAGGGGAACAGTTTGAATGTGTTCCATACGATATAATTCGGAGTTGAATTACTGCCAAACTATGCGTATACAGCTCACGATACTCTGGCGGGACCTTCTTTATGACCCATAGCAAAGAACATAAACAGAGAGAAGGACCACTCTAAGCTCCGCCCGAAAATTTCCCTTCCTGCCCCGTCACCGATCTCAGCACTTCTCGGCACTCTCGCGTTTACCCATAGTCTTCACGTTAGGCTTCTGAGTAACGCAGTGTACTTGTTATACCGGTTGGAATCCAATAAGACACCTCACTTCTTCATTCAGCATTACCTTATTGTCATTATTTATATATGTCATATTATTTTGATATGAATGGGTTTTTGTTGTGTTGAAGGCTGTAACAATAAACCAGGGCATGGGATTTATTTAAAAATATTCCATTTGCACATCCATGTGAACATTTTCCATTGGAATATCTGTTATTCCTGTATAAAAGAGTTCATATTTATTATACTATAAAAATACAATAAAAAGTTAATAAGCCAAATATAAAATTGAATATCTTGCAGAATTTGTAAGAACATTCATTCGAAGTTTTTTTTTGGTTCAAAATCTGAATAATATTAGGAATACATTTTGTTTATAATTGTTTCATTACGAAAGGCCCAAACTTGTTTTTCTTGAAAAATACCTATTTATTTTGTTAGTAGGTACTGTTATTGCTTTCAGGAAAGGGCCTTAATTATTGAATATTTTACTAAAACAAAACACGTGAAATTAAATGATAATAAAAATATATTCTACCACAGATTACCCAATAATCAGAATAGCATCTCTCACGCGGGTGTGGGTTCGCGCATTTGAACCGCGCAGGTTGTCGGCTATCTTCCTGGATTACATAGAATTCTGAGCTGTGGAATGATCGTGTGAAATATTCAGTAAAAAAACTTAGAGGTGGTCATGTATTGTGTGCGCTGCTATAGGTTGCAAAAACAATTCTAATACTTGGGTTTATTCCTCATCTGTTCAGAGCCAGTTGAATGATAATACCCTGTTTACCTATTGACCAAGCAAAACTGCAATTGAGGAAAAATGAGTTTAGTTTTTCCTCGAGTTTTTCCAAAACACAACTTGAGAAAATAATCTAATGGAAACCTGGTCAAATCGGCCCGGCTTGCTAACCAAAGAACATGGCGGATCACAGAAAACAGATCCTAAAATGTGATTCTACATTGACTTTTCTACCTCATAGTGAAAATTTGTATTGAAATAAAATGAAACATCATGAATGTCAATGATACAGCTAAAATGAACAAAACCGTTTTCTTTGAGTCGCTCTCTTGAGTATTATCGAGATAGGCACCTCCGTAATAATAGCGGCAATAAGTCGGTTACTAAGATCATATATTGTTCTTGTTCTTCTTTATAAGTTGTAGATAATCGAAATATAATAGCTATATTATGAATGTTTTGTTCTTGATACAAAATATCTCGTGAACGGACATTCTATGCTAATATTCGTATTATTAAAAAAAATCAGATTACATTTTCATTGAACCCCGTAGCGAAACCTCTCACTGCAATATGAGCATGGCATTCCAAGTGACCCTCGTAAAGACTCGAAACCAGCCGCAGACGGCCGCCGCTTTTGTGAGCGCTACATGAAAGTTCCGCCCGAAAGTGAACCTTCTGTCTCTGTTTATGTTCGGTGCCCAGAGTTTACGATAATAATATATCAAAAACTCATTTTCTGAATACATGTCACTTACGATGTTCTGGCAGAAAGGTATCGATATGTTGATCTAGAAAAATACCTAGATATTTCATTGAGCATTTTGAAGGGATACATCGGCGACGGCAGGAAGAACTGCCATCGCACCTGCTTCAACGTCTGCATCCATGGCGCCTGTCAAGGGGAGCCGGACTATTCGTGCAAGTGCGACACAGGGTGGTATGGCGACGACTGCTCGAAGAATTGCGGCTGTAATAACCATTCGGCTTGTCCTCGGGGAGAAGGGGTGTGTGAGGAGTGTATGGATAATACTTGGGGGGAGTTTTGCCAGTTTTGCAAGTCTGGAAGTTACGGGAATGCTACTACTGAGAAAGGTTAGTAGATAATGTGGGAGTTTTGCACTTATCATGCGATGGGTATTTTTTCGAAAAATGTTTTTGTTACTTACGTATTTTTGTCTCAAAAACACGAATTTGATAATGAAAATGTGAACAAACCACTATTTATTTTACTTGATTTTTTGGGATTTTCTCTCCTCGTTTCTATAAAATAAAAATATGCGTATTATTTCAATATATTTGTAGTGGGACAAATCAGATGATTTACCCCAAAATGCGTTTAAAAAATTTTACTATCAGAGAGCCTAAAAGAAAAATCCAGTAGCTTGTCAGTGACAATTTGTTTGAAAAATGTTTGAAGGAAAGAAATATAGATATATTGAAAAAATATCGACTTTTTACTTATCTTTGGACGTTTCGGGAACGAATCTACTCCCGTTCTCATCATAAAAATACAGATTCGGTCCCGAAACGTCCGAAGATAAGTAAACATTCGATATTTTTTCAATATATCTATATTTCTTTCCTTCAAACATTTTTCAAACAAATTGTCACTGACAAGCTACTGGATTTATCTTTTAGGCTCTCTGGTAGAAAAAATTGTTAAACGCAGTGACATTTTGGGGCAAATCATCTTATTTGTCCCACTACAACTATATTGAAATAATACGCATATTTTTATTTTATAGAAAGAGGAGAGAAAATCCCAAAAAATCAAGTAAAATGAATGTACCACCTCCTCGATTAACCTACAGACAATATTTAAACCACTATTTATCGGGATATTTCACGAAAAAGTTCTAAATTTCACCTTCTTTTTCCTCCTGTATTTGGATACGCAATTACTGATTTACAACTATTTGCTCTTCTTATTTTGTCATTGGACACACTTTATATAGTCATTATGTACTTCAATCACACATTTTATATAGGAAAATCAACGAGAAATATGAGTGAGTTGGTGAGTTTTTCATATTTACTTATTAATCATGCCAGCTGACAGCCATTTAATTTAAGATGTCAAATGAAGCTTAATTGTCAACAGATTTTGAAAAAACATAAACTTTCAGACGAATTGCTTTTGAATGACGTTATTCAAATCATTTTGAATGTTATTCTTCCTTCTTCAATGTGTTTTCCACTTTTTAGTTTGAAACTAGTTGTGTGATATGAATTTTCAGAAAAAAATTAAGTTTTCTCATTTACCTATCCACGGTGAGAGTGAATTCTTGCATATTCGACATTTCCTTGTTGATTGAATGGCAGATGGCAGAATGGCGAATGGCCGTCCCCGTCAGCCGGTGTGATTATTTACCAAATAGTAAATATGGAAAAACAACAAGAACATAATATTTCTAGCCGATTTTCATATTGAAAAAGTATCATTGAAGTACATCGTGATGAATAAATTGTCCAATGATGAAAAAAGAAGGGCAAATAGTTCTAATACAAGCGGAAAAAGAAGGTGAAATTTAGAACTTTTTCGTGAAATCTCTCGATAAATAGTGGTTTGTTCACATTTTCATTATCAAATTCGTGTTTTTAAGACAAAAACACATGAGTAACAAAAAATTTTTTCGGAAAAACCCATCGCATGACGAGTGCAAAATTGCCGATAATGTTGGTGGTCTTGATAACTTGCATCCGTATGGATTTTCTTCATTTCCTATAAATTATTTGAGAGAACTGATAGCTACTTATTATTTTGAATGAAACTTCTCTATTTCCATTTCCTACACTGGGTGTCCCAAAATTGCTGTGATACAGAGCTACCACGTGTCATAGTGGTCAAAATAAGTTGATTGGACCCAATCTATTTATATACCAAAATGTACCGTTTGTCCGTGAAAATAGTTCTTAGGTTACATTGAAAAAAAAAACTAGGTGTATTTCAATTCTTTACGTCGAATTGACCTTTGTATTGATGAAGGTGGCCGCCAAATTGAACATACATTATAAAAAACGTTCTTCCTTTGTTTCTCATGTCGATTGAAATTTGTATTACAATGTTATTAAACTTATACTGGAAAAATCAAAACAGTTTTTCTTTCGGAAATACCGGGTGTACGAAGTTTTCAAAAGAGTAATAAAATGAAGATAATTAATCTGTCTTCTCGTAAAAAAATGGGAACCGTATTACCACCCTTGAGAATGTTCTGAAGAAAATGCCAGGGGTTGAAGGTAGTTTCAATCCTTCTACAATTCCTTCTGGGTTTCTATGATCACTAAAAGAAAAGTAATCCTCTAAAATGCACTTCTGTGAAATTTTATTGAACTTGTTCCACTAATTTCTGAACAGCGAAAAAAATGAATATTTTATGTAAACTTTGAACTCTTCTCACGGACAAACGGTTCATTTTGGTATATAAATAAATTGGTTTAAATCGATTCATTTTGACCTCTATTAGACGTGGTATCTCTATGTCCCAGCAATTTTGGGACTCCTTGTATATATTTAGTGTACGGTACATATCTTCTGTGGAATTTTTGAAGCAATCCAAAAAATATCGCTATTACTTATGACATAATAATTATTAGTACATAACAAGGTCGTTCTGAATATACCATATTTGTAGGGTCTCACATATTTTATATCCGAGATATAGGGTGTTTTATGAATTTTCCTCAATTCTTTGTGAGGACATAACTTACGAACCACCCAGTATATTCTTTAGGAATTTGGTATACGATTCCTCCTTCTACCCATTAGTCACGAGAAAAATCCAGGTTCGGTTTAACGAAAATTGATCATATTTCTGGGCTCCCAAAAGAACACCATGTATTTTAGAAATCGAAAATCCGCTAACATATTTGGATAGTACACAAAAAGCTGAATCGAATGGTGTAATTTTCATTTTCTGATTTTGAATTTGAGGTTTTATGCATTTGGTTGTTGTTGTTGTTGTTCTTTATTACCCCAAGAAACATATTTGTTTATAATAGGGATACATAAACATATGATATATATATATATATATATATAAAACAATAAAAAAAAAAAAAACTAATTAACAAGTTATGTCAATATAACATAATAATTAAAATAAAACCATTCCAAGTATTCAAATGAGAATAAATTGCTCCGTTTATTGTGTCATGAGTATATATTTTTTCATATTGACTTTGAATCTTGTTTCATCATCAATATGTTTCAAATCATAAGGTAATGAATTATATAAAATGATTCCGTTGTAGAATACTGATTGTTTGCCAATGATGGAGTTATATGGGTTTGCTATTAATGAATTCAACTGTCTCGTTGCATGAGTATGAATTGTATTTACTTCAGTAAAGTTCAAGTTGGATATTTTTATTTTTTTTCTCACAAAATGGATGAAAGAACAAATTTTCATTTTATATAAAGATGATAAATTCAACAGATTTTTTGGTTTGTAAAGATTAATAGTTGGTTCCAGGTAATGTAAATTGTAAATGCACTTAATTGTTTTATTTTGTAATTTCATTAATGGTTTCAAATGTGATATACTTGTGCTTCCCCAAATTGATATTAAATATTGTAATTTTGAGTAAATCAGACAGAAATATATATTCTTCAAATATCTAAGAGGAATGAAATCTCGAATTTTGTATAAAATGCCAGTAATTGGATTGAGCTTTTTTCTCAGGTGATCTATATGTTTAGTCCACGATAATTGTTCATCAATATAAAGACCTAAGAATTTTGTAATATCTAAATATTTTATGGCTTTCTGGTTGAAAAATATTGTTGTTTTCGACATATCAGTTTTTCTTTTTGAAATATACATATACGTAGATTTGTCATAGTTAAGGGTCAGCTTATGAATTTGTAGCCAAGATGATATCATTTTCAAGTCACTTTTTATATCATCAACTATATCGTTAAATTCTTTAGAGGAATAGATTATTGTAGTATCATCTGCAAATAACTTCAGATCTCCTTTTAGTTTCAAAGATGATATTGAATTGATGTAAATTAAGAATAAAATTGGACCTAAAACGGAACCTTGTGGTACACCACATTTGATTTCTCTTACGGAGCTACAAATATTATTGACTTCAACATACTGCTTTCTATTTTCCAGATAATTTTTTAACCAATCAAATATTTTTCCTCTTATACCTATTGAATATATTTTACTCAGTAAAATTCCATGATTTACAGTATCGAAAGCTTTACATAAATCTAAAGACAAGAGACCACATTTATAATTTTGATCAATTTTAAACTGAATATCCGAAATTACATCCATAACTGCTACCTCAGTGTCTTTCGATCGGCGAAATCCATATTGACCACTGTATAGCAGACCATTATTTTCAAGAAAATCAAGAATGCGCTTATTCATCATTTTTTCAATAATTTTTGAGAGGATCGGGAGAACTGAAATCGGTCTGTAGTTATTAAGGTCATCTCTTTTTCCAGATTTATGTATCGGTATGACTTTAGCAATTTTCATTTTATCTGGTACAATTCCAGTTTTGAAAGATATAGTAGCAACATACAATAAAATCGGAGCTAATTCTACTTTGATCACTTTTACAATTTTAGCAGATATTCCGTCGAATCCACAAGATTTTCGTACATCTAAGTCATCAAATTAAATGTTTTGAGTTTTCCCAATCGAATAACAATTATCACCAACCACCGAGTATATTCTTTTGAAATTTGATACACAATTTCTCCCTCTTCTACCCAAGCGGCTGACCTATCAGTCACGAGTAAAATCCAGGTCCAGATTAACGAAAATTGATTATATTTCTGAACCCCATAGAACACGCTGTATTCCCGAATTTCCAAAATCCGCTTACATTTTTGAAAATTGCACAAGAATCTGATTCGAATGGTGTACTTTTTATTTTCTCGCATGCTATTGCCTGGATGAATACGCCAGTGTGTCTTCACGTATTTAGAAATTACTATATTGAGTAATTATCTACTCATGGAAAGAAATTGTACAAAACATTTTCATTTCCCTAAATATTAGAACAATAAAAATAATGAAACATCTACCATCTCGATTTGAAACTTGAAAATTCAAGCATTTTCTGGTTTTTCATTTATGTGTATGCTTCTTCAATTCTTTGAATTAGCTCCTCCTTGGTAGTCATCTCAGAAGAATTCACTCCCGATTTGAGATATCCCAACAGGTGATAATTCACGGATTGGCTGAGGCGGCCCTCATAACTGGACTAAAAGATCACCGGATTTGAATCTCGTGGATTATCACCTGAATCATGAACTTGAATCTGAAATGTATTCTCCTGAGGTTACTACAAGGAAACATGAAGAAGCATGCATAAAAATGAAAAACAGGATGTGATCCGAAAATCAGGGAGAAATATTACAGAACGAACAAGAAAATGTTTGGATCAAAATGGAGGGCTCTTTGAGCAATTGTTATAATTTTTAAGTTTAAAGTTGAGGAAGAAGATGTTTTGATATTTTTGATAATCTAATATTTGAGGAAATTGAATTGTTTCAACAGTGATATTGTCATTATGTCAATGGATTCGATCAATTTCTTGCCATAAATACATGAGTAATCGATTTGTAAAATTGAAATATTATATAGTATCTAGGTTACAACTGCTGACGATGACTGTTCAATAGGATATCATAGCGAATTGCGGTATTTTTGTTATTCGGGAAAACTCAAAACACTCAATTAATGCATAAAAGCTCAAATTCATCTTTTTGTGAAATTTTTAAATATGTAAGGGGATTTTAGAAATTTGAAAATACTGGGTGTTCTTTTTGGGCCCCAGAATATGATCAATCTTAGTCGATCCGGACCAGGATTTTTATCGTGACTGATTGGTGGGTCGCTTGGGTAGAGGAAGGAGGACCTGGGTACCAAATTCCAAATGAATATACTGGGTGGTTCGATGGAGAAAAATATTCAAATTTTACCTATCCAAATCCTCAAAATTCAAAATCAGAAATGTGAAATAGCATGCGGGAAAATAACAATTACAACATTCGGTTCAGGTTTTTGTGCACTTTCCAAATATGTAAGCGGATTTTGGGGACAAGAAATAAGATGCATTTTCGTTCATATGGACCTGACTGATAGGGCAGAAGAAGAAGGAATCGTGCACCAAATTCCAAAAGAATATACTGGATGGTTCCTAAGTTATGTCGTCACTTAGACTTGAATAAAATTGATAAAACACCCTATATCTCGTATATAAAACTTGTTAGACCCTACAAATATGGTATATTTGCAACTACCTTGATGAGCTCTACCCACCGTTGACATTTTTCCGTTTCCCAATGGGACACCCCGTATATGTCGTCGTAATTTGACACTGGCTTTATTCCGAATTTTCGAATTCAACTGACAGTACTGAATCTGCTGATTTTCCATAAAAAAAAAATGAAAGTGACATATACTACTTGTGAGCAGACATACTATTCATTCCAAATATTTCGACTCAACATTCTGCTGAAATCGCTGACTATCAAAAGGTAGTGTGGCTTAAGTGAGCTGTCATTATTTTAGATGAGGAAGGCATGTCACATTTATTTCCGTTATTTTTCAAACATTAAGTCTTGTCTTATAAATAATAAATTAATAATACCAATACAAATGTTGTTTCTTGGGAATAATAAAGTTGATTGATTGATTGAATTTAATGATGAAAACCATAAAAACGGGTTCTGAATTAGAGCACTGTATTTTTCAATACTAGCTTAATTTCCTGTTTACATAAAAAAAGTATGTTTCAGGTCAATAATTTGCTGTCACAAATATGGATAAGTTATATTTATTATTGATAATCGATTGCGCATGTTGAAAAATCACGATAATGTATGAGAAATTCAGTTCCTAGATGATTTTTAACTAATATAGTAGCTTTTTAAGATGAAATACTCATACAATAAACTTACCTGACCCTAAGGAATTATTTACCTTTGAACAGAATAGCTAATCCATTTCAGACAGTATTAACAATTAGGCCAGTGCTAAAGCCTTTAAAAACGGTAAGAAGTTTAAAAAAAATTACAGTAGGATGAAACCTATTCGAAAAAAGAGAATATAACAGAGATGAGAGGGAAAATGAATCACGGGCGATCTAAGGTCGGGAAGTGGTGGTGGTAAAAAGCAGTTTTTCTCGATTTCTGGCAAAACTAAAAGCCCTATGAAAAAGTGGCAAAGTTCTAGGTGATGAAAAGATCTCAACTTTTATATACTCACTTTTTTCATGTAACCTCCAAATTTATGTGAAAAATTCAAATAACCAAGTTTTTGGTTTTTTATTTTCATCTTTAACAACAAATAATATTTTTTCACGAAATTTGGCGAAAACTTACATCTTTATATCCCAAATATACTGAAATTTTTTTGATTTGAAATATTCATTTTTTCACCTTATTTTGACTTAATATCGAAAAAGCACCCTAATTTTCAATCGATAATTCTCGCGTTAAAATATATGCTCTTCCAAGGAACTTGATGGGCTTTTTGTTCGTTAAAATCTCTACTTTCTGATGGTGTAAAATATTATGTACATTACTGTGGTAAATTTTCTCAGAGAATGCAGAGAAACGAAAAAGCAGCAGTCACATTTTTTTAAGAAATCCCCTTCATTATTTAGAACAACTATTTTCGCATGTTTTTTGCAATACTAATGGGTTTGAATTTTTTTTATTTTGTCGATGTAACATGGAATCTTACGTTTTTCGAGTGATAATTAGTGTTTATTTTTAAAAATAGCTGAAAATTGTAAATAATGATTCAAAAAATATTTCGGAATCGAGTTTCGTTTCTTTGCATTTTCTGAGAATATTCACCCTAGTGATGTATATTACCTTTCACAATTTAGAAAGTAGAGATTTCAATGAACAAGAAGCTCATCGACTGTTTTAAAAAAAGCAGATATTTTAACACGAGTGATTGAAAATAAATTAGAGTGTTTTTTCGATATCAAGTCAAAGAAACACGTTTCCATAAATAGCCAAGCTAAGAAGAATTACAAAATAAAATGATAAAAGTGTGTTGATAAATACAAAACAAAAAATATTATCATCTGCGTAATCAGTACATTCTATATTGTGTATTTAACAACACACTTCTATTATTTTATTTTATAGTTCTTTTTAGTTTGGCTATCTATAAAAGGGCGTTTCTTTAGTTTTTCATACTACTATTTATTTTCTATTTCTTAGTTCTCCTAACTACAAAAGGGTGTTTTTTAGTTTTTATATATTTTTTGTGGGCACCCAAGAATCATAATCTCTTACCCCGACAACCCCCAGATACTCAATAGAATCGCGTCATGATAACAAATCCTGTCCGCCATATTGAATCCGCCATATTGAATTTTCCAATTTTGACAAAAGCATCGTAACCTTCGACCCCGAAAACACCCGGATACCAATTTTGGAAAGAATTGGATCATATAATTACAAAACACGTTTTTCATATTGAATCCACCATCTAGAATTTTCCAATTTTGACGAAAGAATCATAATCTCCAACCCCGAAAATCCTCAAATACAAATTATGAGTAGAATCAGATCATAATTACAAAACTCGTCCGCCATAGTGGATCCACCATTATGAATTTCCAAATTTTGACGAGAGAATCATAATCTCTGAACCCTCATATACAAATATTGATCAGATTCGGATTATAATTACAAAACTCGTCCGCCATATTGGATCCGCCATCTCAAATTCACTAATTTTGATGAAAGAATCATAATCTCCGACCTCGAAAACATCTAGATACCAATTTTGAATAGAATCGGATCATAATTACAAAACTCGTCCGCCATTTTGGAGCCGCCATTTGTCTAACAAAAATTTCGTAATGCATTGCCAGCATAACTATGTACAACTGACAAATTTCAAATCAATCGGGCCGATTTAGTACATAGGAAGTGAAGCTAATAAAAGGGTGTTACAAAAAAAATATTTCAAATCAAAAAAATCACAGTGTATTTGGGGCTTGAAGAGCTAGGTTTTCACCAAATTTCGTGATTTTTATCAATTTTGTATGAGATAAAAATGAAAAACCAAAATCTTGGTTGTTTGAATTCTTCACATAAATTTTGCGGTAATGTGAAGAAAGTGTATTCACAAAAAGTTATAGATTTTTTTATTACCTACAACTTGGCTATTTAACTTTTTCCCATAGGACTTGTAGTTTTGCCAGAAATCGACCGTTATTTTATTTTTCTCTCATTTTTGTAGAATGGAATCTTCTATAATATTTTTCGGTTTCAAAAATTATCGACCATGGTCTGAATAATCTATATTTGTAGTTCAATAAATATGAGATCACAAAAATTAGCATTGTTATGAAAAAATATTGAAAATATGGGGATATTCTAATAGTTGATATAAGGATTGTGAAATCATGAATCATGATGAAAAATTTAACACTCCTCTTACTATAATGATCTCTGGCATGTTCGCAATACAGTACATTCATTACATTTCAAGCAAAATATACTAATGAGTGAATTATTCTATGATCTCTCAATTCCACAGGTTGCCAGGCATGTGATTGCAATCACCATGGAAACGTAGACAAGGGTGAATGTGACATTGAGACTGGTGTATGCTATTGTGAAGATAATACGGAAGGGGACCATTGTGAACGTTGTAAATCAACGTATTTTGGAGATCCGCAGAACGGGAACCAGTGTTATTATCAGTGTGAAGCAAGAGGGTTATTGAAGAATTCTCATGGACAAGGAATTAGTTCCAAGCAATCTTACATACCACCTTGGGGAGGGTCTCCAACTAGGGAATGTTTGTGGATCATCAAACCAGATGTGGATTATGGATCAGCAATTATTCAGCTTCAGGTGAATATTCGATGATATAGGAATTATTCATTAGGTGTATGAATATGAGTCAAGGGAGAAATAGTTAACAAGGGAAAAAAAGTAGTAGATTTCAGCTCCAGGTTGACGCATAGCGGAGGGAGACAAAAAACCGTGAGCTAAAATCTAATATTTTTCCCGTGTATTTTTTTCTGTGACAGAAGAAAGGACGAATCAATATTGAGAAGATATTACATTATTTTGAAATCTGAAAATTATCGACGTGAAATATTAAGTTCTTAATAGTAGGGACACCTGCGTTGTAGGCATCTATCAGTCTCTTGAAGTAATGCAATATCTGATGTCACTTCTGTCAGTCTAATTCTGTGATTTGATTTCAAAAAATTGCGAATTTAGTGGTTGTTTAGTACTATACTCGGAGACGGTATTATTGCCTCATTTTTCGGAACTATAGCACAACGAAAGCCATCAACAGTGTATATATATGTGATATATATCCGGGAAAACAGTACTCACTTTTTTCCCACGGGAAAAAAGTAATTTATGAAAAGTGACATTTTATAACCTGCCAACAGAGATGACATGCCAAACTTTTTTACCGTCTCAGAAAAAAGTACATTTCATGAAAGTCAAATAATAGTCATCATCAATCATTTTTTCACTTACAAAACATACTTTCTATACCATTCTATAAATTACATTCTATAATATCTAGAGAAATTAACATTCCACCTCAACAATTAATCTAGAGTATATACTGAAATCTCAATAACAGCGTCAATGGTATTTGAGTTGGTTGCATAGTCTTTCGCAACTGATGAGTTATAAGTCATAAGTAAAATGATTCAATAGTAATTATGAAGAAGTTATGATTTATGCAGAAATTATTACGACTGTTATATCATGCGAATTTTAGGCCTTGGAGCATGAGATATACAATAAGAAGAAATTTAATATTGTATTATTAAACAATTTAGTCCTAAATTCTCATCACGACGATTTGATTTTTTTTCTTTTTATTGCATTTCCTCGGTCCCAGCACTGGAACCAACTACATTCGGACTTTGTTGAGCAACATGTTTCGATTCCAAATGAACTCCATTATCAGCCTAAACAGATGAGGTGAAAAATTGCCAGCATTCTCAATGCGTTTCGACGAAAGTCACTGTAGCCAGTCGACCACCAAAAAATTTGTCAGATATATGTGGTATTTAATTAGGTAATCAACTGGACCACTGTTTACTTCCTGCCAACTGTTTGCCACTTTCTCATCTGTACTTACTAAAATTTTCATTACGCGCTCTAAACCAAGCGGTCATGAGGATGAAAATAGTTATTTACGTGACAAGTAGGATATAGAAATTATTAACGCACGCATGTGAGGATTGCACGACGAAGCCGTAGGCTGAGTCGTGTAATCACATGAGTGCGTTAATAATGTAGTATCCCACGCGTTGCGTACAAAAACGTTTTTATAACTATCTCTAAATGTACCTGATTGTTATTCCACTTCAACGTAACTACCCATGACAGTTTTCTGATAATTGAAAACACAAGTTGCCTGTGATCACTTTTGTAACCGCAGCAACGGTAGGTATAAACAAAGCCGTTTATAAATGTTGAATTACATTGTCACATTGATATCCAGAACAATCATTGAGTTTCTTGAGGGAAAATGTCTTCAAGTGAAGATGATCTACCATCCAATATTGAAAATGCAGCGGCAAGTTATATGAATTTTCTTTGTAATCATTCAATAAACGATTTATTTTGGTTGTAATTTCTTTCTTATCTCATTACCGCACTAGTGCAGTAATAGATTCAGTAAAGCATTATTGCGGTAATTAACGTCTATATGACATCCAAAAAAGTATCAAATCATAATCATTACTTGACAGTTGTAGATTAAAGTTAATACGATTATTAGGAATGTACTCCTATATGATTCTCTAATGAAGGTTGTGTTGTCAACCAAATACCCAAGAAAAATTTATATTCAATGTTGAGTATAAAAAGGGACAAGAATTCAAAAGGAACATTAGTACATCAAGAAACTGACAGTAAAAGTTATAGTGACATGTTAACCCATCATTACAGTGATGACGATTATGCAATAATTCATATACCATCTGAGACTTCTCTTCGATATCTCCATCTTGAATCACATTTCTGCTTTAAGAGTGGTTACATTTGGAGTAGGACACGCTGTATATACTTTATTCAAATTCGACGAGTTGTCGTTAAAATTGATAAAACCAGTGTATTTTTTGTCAACCTGGTGATCAAAGGGTACAGAATAGGGCTGTGCAAAAATATCGATTTATCGAATAAATATATAAAAAAAGTATATACAATGACATATCGATATATCGATGGTGTCAAAGTCATTTGGGTGTGACGAAAGTGTACTTTTTTTCCAAGCAGCATAAATGAGATATTGGCTGTATGAAAAGATCTGGCACACACGGTATATTGTCATATCATAACAACCCGACTTTTTTTCCAATTTATTCATCCATTTATTTATTTTTTCACCAATATAGGAGTTACAAACACATTAAACAATCAAAAAACTCTACTTATTGAACCAATTTAAGAGAAAAAACTTGGGGAAAGAGATAGTGCATTTAGTAATACAATAGATGATCTATGTTATACTTTTTGTTTCGCAACAATTCAAAATATTGTAATGATATTCCCCTTGGAGGGGCTTTAGAAACATCAGCAGGAAGGCAGGAGTACAACGATCATCCTGTATCACGCATCCCAGATTGCTCTCCTACCTCCCAATGATTCCTACATGCACTAGCATATTTCCGAACACTCAATATATGCCGCGGTGACAGATAACGTCACAGAAGATTCTGGAATGTTCTGGAAACAATCGATGGAACAATTAGAGAGAGAGGTTTGTTCTAAGAAGCTTCTAGAACAAAAAGGAGACGGAAAATCATTCGAGAAGGTTCTCGAACCAAAGCCTGTCTAGTTATCTCATATATAAACGGCCGAATAACTGCCGTGAATAGTCGAGCAGCGAGTGTCAGAGAGACAGTTATATACCGCGTGTTATAAATCGTTTTACATAAATAGTAGTTCTAAGTTCGTTATAAATTAGTGTTTCTATAGTTCAAATAAATCAGTTCGAAAATAAATAGTGTCGTGTTCGCTTCTGCACCCGAATAACGTAACAATTGGTGTCAGAAGTGTGGGATATTCCAGTGTGAAGTGAACAGACCGTTGCAATGAAGAAACTACACGAGTTGAGAGTGGTGGACTTGAAACGCGAGTTGGAGGAGAGAGATCTCGACACAACAGGGATCAAGGCTACACTTCAGCATCGTCTCATAGAGTATATGGTGAGCGTAGGTCAAGATCCAGAGACGTTCACCTTCGAGGAACCAGCTTCAGCGGAATCGATGTTGGCTGGGATCTCGGAACAGATAGCAGCTCAGCGACAGGACATAGCGGCTCAGCGACAGGACATAGTTGCGCAGCGACAGGACATTGCGGACCAGATGGTGGCCCAGCAGGAGAAGATCACGGACCAGATAGCGGCTCAGCGACAGGACATTGCGGACCAGATGGTGGCTCAGCAGGAGAAGATCACGGATCAGATGGTGGCTCACCAAGATAAGATCGCGGATCAGATGCGTGCTCAGCAGGAGAAAATCTCAGCTCAGCAAGATCAGATAGCCTCTCAAATCTCAGCCCAACGAGACGAGGTATTAGCTCAGATGACCGCTCAACGAGAAGAGGTGCTGGCACGTATTTCTGCTCAGCAAGATCAGATCGCCTCCCAGATATCAGCCCAACGAGAAGAAGTATTGACTCAGATATCAACACATCGGGAAGAAGTTATGACTCAGATTGCTGCTCAGCAAGAACAGATCGTTGCTCAGAATGAACAGATCGCATCTCAGCAGGATAACATTATAGCTCAGGTATCAACCCAATTCACCACCCAGATAGAAGAAATGAAGAAGGAGCTGCAGCTCGAAAGAGAAAGGATAGCTGTGCTGGAGAAGTCTGGAAATGGTCGAGGACTCATAATTGAAACCACAGTTGGGCCAGATGCAGTGACTACTACCAATCGAGTAAAACCACCTACATTCGATGGAAAAACATCGTGGCCGAACTATCTGAAGCAGTTCGAAGCAGCTTCCAAAGCCAATGGGTGGACATCCAAGGACAAGGTGGTAGCTCTTACAGTAGCTCTACGGGGTGATGCACTGAACATCTTGCAAGCCATTCCGGAAGTAGAAGCCGATAGCTACGATCATCTCGTCAAACGCCTCGAAATGCGGTATGGTCACGAACATCTTCAGCAAGTATTTCAATCACAAATGAAGAGCCGTCGACAGAGAGTCAACGAGAGCCTGCAAGAATTCGAAGTGGACGTTGCACGATTGGTTCATTGTGCATATCCATCAGCTCCCGAATCTCTAATGGAATGCTTGGCTGTTCAAACGTTCGTAGATGGACTACGAGATATTGAAATGCAGAAAGCAGTTCGCCTCACTCGACCAAAAGACCTCACCAGTGCTCTGGCAGCTGCGCTTGAGATCGAGGCCGCAGCAGAAGCTTCCCGTGGATCCGCGAAGGTACGAGCTATAAATGACAGCGAGAACATAGCCGAGAGCCACAGGCAAGATTCAAATGAAGCTCTGATCAACACCATCAAGGGCCTCTTGGATAAGAAGAGGAGACCAGTTCGCTGTTGGAATTGTGGGGAGTTGGGTCACCTCCAAAGAGCTTGTAAACGTGCGAAACAGGCTGCTGAGGAAGGATCATCTTCCACGCAGCCGCAGGAAAACTAGAACGGGTCGACTTTGAGGGGGCAGCTTCGACCCGTCATTCTCAAGACCCTCTCATCTTTGTGGCATCCCTACGGCGTGATAACAGCAGCGTCTACGTGGATGGACAGATCGACGGAAAGAAATGCGCATTGTTGGTGGATACTGGTGCATCGAAGACGATCCTGCGACGTGGACTTCTGACGTCTTCAAGAAAGCAACTTGTGA